TGTGTGTGTGTGTGTGTGTGTGTGTGTGTGTGCTTGTTGTTTCGGTTTTCCACCCTGTGGCAAAGGGGCAGAGAAAAAAAAAAAAGAAAAAACAAGCAGGCAACAGCAACAAGTGATTCGTCTCCTATCAGAGGATAGAGGAGTGGTACTGCGTTTATTTTGTTATTCCTTGGTATTTCCCATTGGTTGTGGAAGAGAGAAAAAGCGAGAGGAAGCAAAACAACATGTGATTTGAATGCCGATTGTGTTCTGCTGGTGTGACTAGAAGGTACATCATCTCCCGTCGTGCCTTATCGCCCATTCCGCATGTGTTCTCCTTTTTTTTTGGAGCACGTGTCTTATTTGCACGTTATGTGTGTTCCGTTTTCTCTCTCACTCTCTCACGGAGTGGGTGCGTAGCGACAGAGAAGAGTCAGTGGAGGCGTGCTCTATGCCCATGGTGGCTCTAGGCGATGAGGAGGAGGAGCAGCGTGTGTTCGTCAACAACCAGAACACACGCACCGCGACTGTCACAATCCCAACATCGCCGATGCGTCGCTCGCAGGTCCGCGCGAAGGGGGGTGCGTACGCGGAGCTGAAGCGTGGTGCCCAGCGGGCGAACACCGGCGACGGATGTAACGTCAAGGTCGCTACAAAGTCGAGCATAAAGGGATCTGGAGGAATTCGGCGGAGCGAGGTGCACCCGCAGCTAGAGGACGTCTACCAACGCGTCATGCGGCGCTTGCAGGCGCAGGCGAATTATGAAGAAATCGGCTTGCCCTCGCTGGCGGTGCAGTTTGGCATCGTTGATGCGTCCCCGGATGAGAGAAGCCGGGACAGGAACGAATGGGATATGGAGGACAACCGCACTTCGGAGAGGTCAGCATCTTCAGGGGCCACTGTGGCGAGGGGCGGCAGTGCAAAGCGGCGGGGCCCGCAGCTCCCTCGAGTGGTGCACTCCACAAAGGCTGAACATGACGACGACACGTTATTCTTGTCGCAGCAGCCATGTCCCAAGACACTTCGGCTGGTGCTTGAGCAAGTGACCGCCACTGTGGCAGAGAAGCTGCGCATTGCTGACACGGGCTCACTCAAGAACTGTCTTCGCTTTGTGTTTGAAAGCCGCACCCTTCTGGACCGCCTCTTAAAAGAGATTCCAACATACTCGCATTTTCAAGGCGAGGGTGAGCGGCTGCCGACGGCCATGCAGCTGCAGGAGTTGTACCAGGAATTCCGGCGGCAGCCGGTGGTGCTGCCGTCCGCTACTTACGCGCGGGACACCGCCAACGGGCGTGTCGTGGCGTGTGTCGGTGATGAGAGAAACGGGCCCCCTAATGCCGCAGAGCTGGCGGGTGGCGCAGAGGGATCGCAGCCGCCGCTGCCGCTACCCGCCGTATTACAGCAGCAGCAGCAGCAAGTACCGAAGGCTCAGGTCTCCATTCAAGGCGCCTCTGGGCAAGCTCAAGGCCCCTTCGCCCCTTTAGAGACAACGTCGCGGTTCGGCATTCCCGAGCCTCCGAAGAGTGTGGCACTCCCAGGCGGCATTGCGGTCCCAATTCCGGCGACATACGCGAAAAGCACCCGATCGCGGCAAGGCGGCGGTGGCAAGCCCCATCAGGCGGGCAGCAGTGTTGCCACGTCCTTCCACGTATCCCCTGCTTCAACCGAAGCGTCTTTTCGTTCCCGCGCAGATGGACGTGGCCCCTCACACGACAAAATCGCCGAAACTGCACGATTGGATGACGCTGCATCAATGGGTGGTGGTGCGGCGTCGCTGCAGGCAACCCATCGGGCAGCAAGCGAGAGGTGCTGTCGCGCCACACAGGAGGTAGCCGTTGGCGTCCTCACAGAGATTAATAATGCGACAGTGGTGAGTCGTGACGAGCACAATGCCTTGCGGGCGTACGCAGAAAAGCTCGAGGTGGAGATTGAGGAGCGCAAGCAGGAGGCACGTGAGTTGGTGGAGCAGCTGGAGGAGGAGCGGGCGTACACCTCGCAGAAGCGGAAGGTTGTGCAGTACCTGCGTCAAACACTATACAAGGAGTGCAGCGTTCTCCGCTCGCAGCTCTCTGCGGCGCAGCAGAAGCAGATACAGTATCAGAGCGTCATAAAGGAGCAGCAGCAGACCCTCTCACATGCCGCATATGCCGATGCCCGGAGTGGCGCCAGCGTATCCGCGTATGAATCCCCGCGATACCCTAACTCTAGTGTCATGCGTCCCAACACGTACGAGAGTTCTGTCACGATGATGTCGCTGACTCCCGGTCTGCACAGCCATCGGCGGATGAACCCAAATGCATCTGTCTTTGGTTTTACACGCAACAGCCTTCACGCCGAGGAGCATGAGGATGGCAACACCTCGACTGTGGGTGGTGGTGCAGGCAACGGTGCAGCTACACCGATCCAACGCGTCTCTGTTGATATCTCGGCGATTAACAGTCTCCTCGATCTCGTTTTGCTGGCTGTAGAGAATGACCAAATGCTGCCCAACAATGTCTCCAAGGCGAAGAATGCAAACATGACCATCATTGCCAGTGCCATGACCGATGACCCGCATGCCCGCCAGCTAAAAATGAAGAATGAATTTGAGGAGCGGCAGCGGCAGATGAAGCAGAGCTACACGCTGAGTCGCGTACAGACGTCAAACCTACTAGCGGTGAAGGATCAGCAGATTGAGTGCCTTAAAAGTTCCTCTGAGATTCAATTCCTGAGTGAATACTGGAAGGAAAAGGCAGGTGTTCTTCGTCAAGAGCTTCGCCGTATTCGAAACGCAGTGCAGGAGGAGTTGAATAATCTCAAACTCTTCGTACTGAAGACAATGAGCAGCATAGCCAACCATGCACGTGTGGTAGACACTACGCTGCGCGACAACCACTCCCTCCACAACACACAGTCGACGCTGCGTGACATTATCTCCTCTGCCCGCACTTTGGTGGTGCCCATGCTGACGACAGAGTACGCCCGCGGCTACCACCCGTGGCCGATCAAGTTGCGCAACACGATGGACCCCTTCGCCCACATGGTGCAGGCACGCTACGGTGAGGGGCAACTTCTCGCCGTGCGGGAGGAGATGAATGCGCTGAGCGACATTTACGTCGCCGTGCACCAGTACGTGATGCGGAGTCAAGCCACGCCGCAGCTGAAGCGACCCATGCCGGGAAGGACGCTGCAGCGGCTCTGTGCACTGCTCGCGCTCAACCGTGCCACGACCTCAGATGTTTGGCTGCAGATCCGGGAGAAGTACACGCAGGAGCGGGAGCTGCAGCGGAGGATTGCCGAGCTGAACATGTCGGTTGTCATGCTGATATTCCGTCAGCGTATTATGACGGAGCGCTCCGCCGACGCGATGCAGGAGGCTGGGATGGACCCGCGCCTCATTGGCCTGCCGGCACAGCGCACAATCAACATGATCGCAGAGCAGCTACACAAAGTCGTCGCCGAGCGGGCCGTTCTTCGGAAGCAGCGGCAGGACAACGCTCGTGATGTCTACCGGATCTGGAAGAGCAAACAGATTGACATCTACGAGAACTACCCGCCGCCGACGGTGCCGCCACGGCTCGTGCTCGGTGAATCCGATGCGGTGCGTGAAGGCGCCGTGATGATGACGCAGTTTGGCAACGTCCGCAAGTCAAGCGAATCACTGAGGCGGTCCATATCCTTGCAGGGCCGTGGAAACGCCTTCTGGGAGCGCATGCTCTCAACCAGTGATGAGGGGCGCAACCTCGTGGAGCTACACGAGTCGCCGCCCAATACCACTTTAACGGTGTCTGAAACGTCAACAGACACCGTAGTCGGGCCATGAGTGTGTCTCTGCGTGGGTGAGAAATGATGCGGGGTGTGGAAATATGTGCGTGTGGCTCTGTTGGCTTTGTGTGTGTGCAAGGAGGGAAAAGTGAGGTTGTCAGGCGGACAGTGGTGATGGTGCCATGAGTGATGTACAGCGGCGGCCCGCCGCCCCCGAAAGGAATGGGCGAGTACACGGCATGTAAATGGCACAAAGCTTCTTATTGTGCCTTTTTTTTTTTTGCGGTACGCGTGAAGAGAGCTCTTCATCTAGGTTCCAAAGAAGTGGGCGCGAACATGACTCCCCTCCTGCTGTCGCTCATGATGTTGTTGTTGATGTGAATTGGTCTCTTTTTTTTTGTTTTGTGGTGTGTTTAATTGCTGCCAACGTCACACTGTGCATCATTTTGCTAGAGGTGGAAACAAATGCGTGGGGCGACGACGCGGTGGCTCTGCCAGAGGAGTAACGCGTCATTCGTTGCGAAGAGTGGGGCCGTGGCTTCGGCTGGTCACACTGGCGCGGCGGCGGCGGCGGCAGCAGCGGCGTCCTCTTGCTGTTCAGCTCCTTCAACGAGTAACAACAGCGGCGGTCTTGTCTCCCTGCCGCATCCCACTCAGTTGGAGCCCTTGGCGTTCCGCGGCGAGGCGTGGCGGCGTGCCGTATGCCAACTGTACCGCGCCATATTAAAGCTGCATGTAACACGACTACTGCCTGTCCAGCGCGAGTTCGGTGACCACTTCGTACAGGTGGAGTTCCAGCGGCATGTGGACGCGACGGAGAAGCACGCACGCATCTTCTACGCGTCGTGGTACGGGTATGTGGCGCAGCTTGAGATGGGGCAGACGTCGCGCGAGCTGACAGAGGAGGAGAGGCGGCAATTGACGCCGGAGCAGAAGGAAACACTGCGCGAACTGCGGAGTCATGTGGCGCAAGCGCGTCAGACAGACCCGGACTTCATGTTGTGAGCAAAAAGAGGTGGTGGTTTTTGTCTTCTTTTTTTCTTTTACTCGCTCATCTTGGTTGGTTTTGGCGCAGAAAACGTTTCCTACACCTACTGTGCGCTGCGGCGTATTATCCTGCTCTGTATTCGCCCACACTGTGTGTGGTGTTGCCCCATCTCGCCGTGATTCTATTCGTTCCCCTTCTTTATTGCCGTTGTTGTTTGTTCTGTTCACTACTGTNCCGTGTGGTTGAAGCAGTTCCAGTGGCAGAAACACAAGTAGAAGAAGGAGCGAGCCATCCCACCCCCCACCCCCTCCCACTTCGTGTTTTTCTTCAGACAGGAGAAGAAAGCAGCCAAATAAACAAGAAGAGTATACTGAAAAGGCAAGGAAAGCAGGGTGGACCCACTCATTCGGAGACACCTCTGCTGTGTGTACTTGGGTGGGTCTCTCTCGTTGTGCCTCCTTGTGTAAGTCTCACTCGTTAGAATATACTTCTTCTTTGGTTAAGCGACACACCACACGCACACACACTATATATATATATATATATATACACCCCGACACGTCCTTGTCTCGCCGCGGCTATCACATCAACTCTGTTCTCTCTCACATAACTGCTGAGAGTGTAGCTGTGTAGGTGGGATTACGCTGCCTCATGGAGTTGAAGGTAACACGCCGACGACCCCCACAAATGGGGGTCCACTCGCCTAAGGCGCTGAGCATCAGCGGCAACAACAGCAACACTAACAGTGCCAATTGCGCCCGAAACTTTTCGCCAGTACCAGGGGGGGGCATCCACCCCAGCGCCACAAACAACAGCAGCAGCATTGCCGCCAACAGCGGTGGCAGAGGAGCTGCCAAGTCGCGCCCACTACCGGTTTCGCGCAGCGACAGTTTGTTGAAGCCAACCGCCGCACGTGGGACACTGGCGATGGCATCCGGCACGCGCATCCGCCGGCGACCACCATCGGCGCAGGGACGCGTCGCCTCACCACTGCTTACCCGCCCCGGCGTAGCGAGCCTCAAGAAGGAGATCATCGAGCACCGCACCGACCCTTCGCCGGCACCGTCACGGCCGCCGCGGGCGGTGAAGCGCTATTCGCTCGCCGTGTCGCCGCCGATTCTGACTCTGAACCCAGCGCCACCACCGCGTGGTGTGCCGGAGGCACCACGCATGACGAGTGCGTTCCACTCAGGTGGAGACAGAGGTGGNGGGCGGCGCACGTCGACGCTGCGACGGCCGCCGCAGGACACCAAGAAGAATTCTATCACCGGTGACAGCAACAGCGCCGCGGCGCCAAGTTCCCCGTCCGCGGCAACGCTCGGAATTGGGCGGCGCAATATTGTGCTCGATGCGAAGCAGAGTCTCTGCCCACGGTCGGGTGGGACGAAGCAGACGCTGGAGGCGCTATCGCCCACGGTCAAAAGCACCCGCTTGGAGGCGGTGCGCTGTTATAGGAAACTGTGTCACGAGATTGGACAGGCGCCAGAGGAGGCGTGGATTGAGGCGGTATTGGGAGATTGTGGTAAGGCGGCGCCCATGAACCCCACGGCGATGAACAGCACTTTGCCACCAGGAGAAAAGAAGCTGCTGGCGGCGGAAAGCGCCGCTGTTACCTCACCGACGAGTAGCGGTGGCGGCGTTGGGGCTGCGCATCCCATAGGTGAACAAGGAGGGAAGCGTGGCATTGGTAGCAGCAGGCGTTCAAGCCTAAGGACGCGATCTGTTGGAGAGGCAAAGCGTAGTGGTAGTGCGCAGAAACGCGTCGGCGGCGTTGGTGCCCAGCCAGCCGTTCTATCATCCATTGGGGGCATGGTACGCGAGCGCTCCCCCAGCGACACCTACCTGGAGCACATGGTGTTATACTGCCAGCACCTTCAGCCGTATCGCCAAAAGATGGAGGCATTGAAGAAGCGGAGAGAGGAGGTTCAAAACGCCTTGGAACGCTTCTTGGGGCTGTGCCGGAACAACCAACAACAGGGCAACTACGGTGGTTCAAAACTCTTCGCCATGACGGCTCTGGAGTCTCAGGCCAAATCTTTGACAGATGGCCTGAGAGATCTTCAACGATGCAATGTGGCGCTGCTGCTGCGCCTAGCTGAGTACTCCCGGGAGGTTCGGCGACCGTTGGGGTCGGCGAGTTATGTTGCGGAAACAGGTTCAAACGAACTTCGACAACAGGTACCACAGCCAGCATCAGTGTCTCTTCAAGCCTCTACTACCTCGCCAATTGCCCGGCCACAGAGTGCACCACTTGGACAGCGGCCTCTGACGCCGTTGGGGCAGCTCAACGGAAATACCACTGCAGCATCTCTATTTGTCGTGCCATCGTCAACGGAGCCCCCCATAGGCTATGCAAACTTTCTGCGTGCGGAGGAGCACCGTATTGTACAGCAACTAACGGAAGTCTGCCAGCTCGTTCGCGATGCCCTGTTGAAGGGGGTGACCGTGGCGATTGCCGACGATTCCATGCTGAGCACTCCGTTGTTTCTTCCATCAGGAGCGTTCAATCACTTCGCAGGTGCAGAAGGTGACAGGCCGAAGCAGCAGCAATCAGCAGGAGATTCTGGTCAACGATTTGATCGCAGCAGTGCAGCAGGCTCTGCGGCAAGCAGTTCGGCTTTCTCGCCCTTTGAGAGTACCGGGAATTTGCGCACGTACACCACACGGAGCACAGGTAGCCCCGTGAGCTCTGACCACCGAGCAGGAAAGGGGGTTCGGAGCGGGGCGGTGGCGGATGATCACAACAGTGCGCCCTCAACGGACCACTTTAATAGGGATGAAATCGATGACCACTCCCCTTTCGTTGGTGTCGCGCTGATGGGGTGGACCACGACGACGACTGATGACAACAACAACAACTCCAATGCATTCCTCAGGCACAACACCGGTACCCCGCAGCTTGTGCTGGGTGGAGGCAGGCGGTGCTTCTCGCTGTACCCTGCCGCCCCGAAGCCTGNAAGTGGCAGCGGTCAGTTCGCCAGAAGCAAATCCGCCGGCTCCTCTACGATTCATAAGAAGAAAACGACCGCGAAGATAGCAACAGCAACATCTTCCTCAGCCACTACTCCAGTGAATGCAACAGCAAATGCAACTCGGCGACAGAAGAGCAAGGCATCATCAAAGGTGAGCGGCGCTTCGGGTGTCACTGACGTTATCGCTGCAGCGCAGATCCGAGAGGCGGAGGGGGCGTGGGAAACCATCAAGGGCCTCATGGCCCCATTATCCGAGCGGCAGTCGGTGCAGGCAGAGACAGATGACAGCAGTTGCAGTAGGGCGGACTCTCAGAAGCTCGTGTCGACGCAAAACGAGCGTCCGACCACGGCGACACCGCAAAGGCAATCACCGACGGGAAACACACCAGGGAAGGACTTGGAGTCGCCTATTCCCTGCTCAAATGTTCCAATCGCCTGGGCAGAAGGGGGCCAGAAGCAGCAGGAGCAAAAATATGCCGGCACACCCACGGCGCCGCGCAGTGCTTCATCCGCACTGGCTCTCTACAGGGAGTCTGTGCAGCGAAAGCAGGCGGCCGCCGTGATTGTTCGCTTCCTGCGCCATTGTCTGTGGCGTAAGTCGCGCCTGGCCAGAGAGGCAAAGCGAGGACTGCAAGAACAACAACAACAACAACAAGGCCCGCAGGAGAAGCAACAGGGTACAGCAATTACAACGACGACGGCGACAACGAAGTCGGAGGTGATGAGGTCACCATCGCGGGGGGCCCTAAAACTTTTAGAGGTGTCGAAGACACATGAGGCGATGGCAGTGCGTATTGCATGCTGTTGGCGCCGGTACGCTGCTCGGCAGAAGCTCCGACATCTGCGAAGAGAGGTTGAGGAAGAGAGGAGGCAGCGGCAGGTGTGGCACTACGAGAACCTCATGGCGCACCGTCTCCAGCGCCTTTTCGCCAAAGCCACGGCCCGACGAAGGCGTTGCGAAGCCCTCCAGCGGAAATGTGCCTCCAAGCCAGAGCTTAATGGCAGCGTCAGCACGTTCACCGACAGCAGCATAAACACAGAGAACAAAGAACGTCCGTTGACCACGCGGGAGAGGTATGAGCGTGCGAAGGGAAAACGCCGGGAACTCTTGCGCGTACACCTCGACGGATACGACTCCGTCTCTGAAGACACAAAGGACACAACGTGCAACCAAGCTGTGACAGCCACAACCAAGTCTGATAAGCCGCTGCAGCAAAAGCAGGAGCAAGTCTGTGAGGCCTCCGCCAAGGTGCCACCACTGGATCTCAAAAACAATCGCCTATCCACTTTTTTCATTGAGAACTACCGCCCAGCGACGGAGAACTTTGGGGTAGGTGTGCTGCATCGTTTGCTGCACGCCCCGAAGGCACTTCTCTACGCGGTGCGTGTGATGTGCGACGTCTACCCACCAAGGCCGGACTCCGCGCTAGAGGCCCTGGCCACTGCTGAGCGAGGGAGCTCTAAGCTGAGGAGCGTAAGCGCTGAGAAGCACCAGCTGCTGCCACTGCAGCAGCAAGAGGATGATGATGTTGGTGGGGGTGGGGGTGGCGCTGCTGAGGAGGGGCCTTCGCAGGACTGCACCAGCAGCAGCAGCAGCACCGATGGCCGGGACACAATGCAGCAGGAATTGATGCACTGTAAAATCGTGCCGTACCGCACACTGCGTCGCTGTCTTCTTTCGCGGAGAATCGCCATCAAAAAACGAAGCGTCAGCATGCCACTCACGTGCCCGCTATCTGTCCGTGTGGAGAGTTATGTAGTGGCGAATGAAGTATGCCGAGCGGAGCCACTGCAGAAGTCATTTCAGCGACCTTTTGAGCGTTGGGGCACCGCGCACGCCTTCCAGCGCCGCGCCTTCAGTGCTGCTGCGGTGTACGCATGGAAACTCATCTTCAGTCATACCCCGCACGACGACTACAAGCAGCGGATGCTCAAAACAAGGGAGGAGCGAGAGGCGCGGCTTGAGCGCGTGGAGCAGCGCAACCGTATGATTCTCGCCTGCTACTGCGTCCACTCCGAGCGCGAGTGGCTGAAGGAGGCGTCGAAGGACCTCACCTTCGTTGCCCACATCTGGAACCCCAAGAACTCCCTCGACCCGAACGATCCGGACTTTGAGCGGCACTGCCGCGAGACGTACGAATTCGTGGAGGACTTTCTCTACCAGTGCTTCCCCACCCTCACTAGTCTCGACGATGTGCCGGCATTCCTCATGGGCGCGGGNATTTTCTTTGTGCTGAAGTCCGTGCTGGAGAACCTAGACGTGGATGAGACAGCTTCGGACGGCAGCAGCGAGTGGCAACCGCCGACATGCCCCACTGCGCCGCCGCTTGCCACGCGGCAGCGCCACGCCGTGTACACCTACGAGCTGCTGGACCTCGTTGACTCCCTCACATTCTGGCGCCACTGCACGCGTGTAGAGAAGGACACCGAGACGGGCCAAGCCGACATCAGCACCACCCGAAGCGTCAAGAGTAAGGAGAAGGACAACAACGATGGTGGGGAGGACTGCTCGGACCCGTTAGAGCGAACAACGCGCTCGCTTATGGCGATCGGGCAGCTTGCCACGGGCTCGTCGGTGTCACTCACCTCTTTAATGAACGACGCCCCCGTGGATGTTACCGACGTGGGCCGCCCACACCTCCGTCTTGTGGTGGGGCCGTCATTGTCAACATCCGCCGCAACATCCCCAACAGCAAAGGCGTCACCAACGGCAAAGCGGCACGGCAACACGGGTGGAGAACTCAAGGGGTGTGCGCCGATGAGGTTGTTGTGCCCGAAGGGTTATTTGGTCGGTCTCAGTGAGCGGCTGGCGCGCAGTCTGCTCGGGCTGACGCTCGATTTGGAGGTCTGTGAGGATTTGGATGCCGTGGCGTAGTTCCCGCCGCAAGTGCTGGGCGATAAGTGTTTCTTTTGTGTGAGTGAGCCCTAACAAAGAGAGAGANATTTGGATGCCGTGGCGTAGTTCCCGCCGCAAGTGCTGGGCGATAAGTGTTTCTTTTGTGTGAGTGAGCCCTAACAAAGAGAGAGAGAGAGAAAGAAAGAAAGAAAGAGATAAGAAGGAAAGAAAACCCACGGATGGAAAGTGTAGAGCTTCTCTATCGCACCCGAAACTGCTTCTGTTTTCGTTGCCTTCCCTTTTTTTCTGTTTTGTTATAGATTCGCACTCTTGCTTTCTGGCCGGTTGTTAATTTTCTTTCGATGCTGCTGCGTTGGGTGGCGTGCGGTTGTGTGTGTGTTTTTTTTTTTTGGGGGNGGGGGGGGGAGCGCAATAGAATACAGCTTGCTGCAGCGAGCGTGCCGCACTCCTCTCTGTGTGTGTCGCCCTTGTGTAAGTGTGTTTGTGTGTGTGTGTGGTTCCAATCGCTTTGTTATTGCTGGTGTTGTTGGGAGCCGTCAATACGCACACACAGACAGAAGCTGTGTGTTGTGCCGTGCATGCAGGCTCACAGGCATACACACACTCACGTTCGTGGCATATACATACATGTACGCGTATGGCTACGTGCGTACGTGTGTATGCATGTATGTATTTGTCCCTCAAAGAGATGACAAATAGGAAAGTTCGGCTGGAGCAGGCGAGGGCGCGGGTGCAAGAGCAAGGCGAAAGAGGGAGCACGACGCAACATGGTGAGACAAGGTAGATGTTGTTGTGACTGCTGAAGAGGAAAGCAGAGTGAAGGAAGGAGGAGCGGTGGAGTAAATAGAGAGGCAAAGAGAGAAGTACGTAGGCATTCACAAATGCGTGAGAAGCGGGATGAATAATAAAGGCATGGAAGCAGCAGGCCTGATCACAGACAAGCGCAGATGCACGAAGGTTCTCCTATTTTGTGATCCAGGTGTTCATTCACGTTTTGTTTTCGTTGTGTGTTTTCTGATTTCTTTGTTTGTTTCATTTGTTTGTTTGTTTGTTTGTTTTTTTCGTCTTCCTATTGGCCACCAATTTCTTCAGTTCGCCGCTGACACCTCCCCCGCGCGATTCGCCCTCCGTATGCTTAAAGAGAAGAGAAGAGAAGAGGCGGGGGAGGGGGAGGGGGAGGAGACAAGATCATGTCTTGTAGCAAAGACGCGGTTGAGATGCATGTGAAGAAGACACGGCATGTTTGTGTGTGTGTGTGTGTGTGTTGCTGCATGAAGAGACATGCGGAAGTATCGGCTTCCCGCATGTGTCCCCTGCGTTACATTTTCTTTCTTTCCGTTCCGCGCCTATACCATCACCGCCATACTTCACTCCAGCAGCAGTGGTAGTACTGGCATTGGTTGAGGTGGCCGCTGTGGGGCCTGCAGGTGCCTGTCTTTTTTTTTCGTGTGTGTGTGTGTGTGTGCAGCTTTCTGCTTCTCTGCTCTTCTTTTTTTTTTTTGTGGCTGGACGCTGTGGAGGGGTTAGTTGTTTTAGTAGGGTGGCGTACTGTGTCGAAGGCTACTTCCCAGTTGGTTGTTGCTGCTTCTTCCGCTGTCTCCCGTCCCTGGAGATTGGGCCTTTTTTTTTTGTTTTGTTTTTGATCCCTTGCGTTTGGAGGGGGGGATTTGATTGCCGTCGTCTTCCTTCGTCGCGCATCACCCTTCCTTCCTTTTACGTGGGGAGAGGGGTGTGTGGGAGAAATCGCAGCTTCTTTTTTTGGTTGTTGCTGTTGTTGTTGTGTGTGTGCGTCGTCCCGCGTAACCCCACCCGTTATATCGCAGCCGTGTGCTGAAGCAGGGTTTCCTTCCAGCCGCATCTCTTGGTGTGTGTGTGTGTGTGTGTGTGTGTGTCCGTTTCGACCTGCTGCGACGGGATTGGCGAGGCGGTAGCTGAACGTGAGTGAGTACTCCACAGTAGCAACAGGCACAGCCGTTGGAGGAGTGGCAAGTGAGGGAAGTATGTTCCGAGTGTCAATGCCGCTGTGTGCGACGTCGACGCGGCGTCTTGGGCGGGGGGCGGTCTTCCTGCCGTGGAATGCGCGGCCGTGGCCGACGTACGACACACACGCCGACGAGTGGAAGTTCCTCGACTGCGCACTTGCTGCTGTGGTCAGCATGACGCCGGCGGAGGTGTCGGAGAAGTCGCTGCGGCTCTGCCCGCGGCACCTACTGCACGAGATTGAGGACCCCGTGGTCACGCTGCAGCGCCGGCGACGCATCGAGGCGCAGCGGACACTCAAGCAGCAGCAACAACAGCAGCAGCAGCAGCAGCGGCGGAAGAGGGAGGCGGCAACAGCCGCCGCTGCTTCTGGGGCGCGGGCAGCGTTTTACGCTAGCAACAGCGTAGGTTTGGGGGAAAGAGCACAGAGTGGCACCCCTGGCAGTGCCGCGCCCGCTACCAGCGCCAACGTGAATACAGTCAACAACAGAATGAAGAGCAATCGCCACCCGAAGAACAAAAAATCAACGGGTACGTTTGAGGCGGCGCCATCCTGCGCCCCTTCTGCTGGTCCTGCTGCTGCAGCTGCAGCAGCAGCTTTGAGCTCTGCTTCACAAATTTCATCCGAAGCGGCTGTGGAGGACAAAATGATGGCAGCAACACGCCAGCAACGCAATGCCAAGCCTACCACCGCAGCGGTGCCGGTGCGAGTGGAGAAAAAGAGTAGTAATAGTAGTAGTATAGGGAGCCAACTGGAATCTAAAATGCTAGCGGGTAAGACCGTTGTTGAGACAGTTAAAAAGAAAGGGGATGGAGAGAAACACGTAGTAGAGGGGGAGGCCCTTGACGCAAGAAAAGATGCCTCCACCACCGCACGGCAGCGACCGAAGAAACATAAACCACACCGCGGCGATGGAAAAGACGGTAAACGCCGAAGCAAACCGCTGGTCTCCTCCACGGATGCAGATGCAGTTAATACTGTTGCTGGTGGTGGCGGTGCTGGCGTTACCAATACGGATGTGGATGCCGCAGCGGGCGCTGGGGCGGCCGATGCCGGGAGCGATGCTCGTCACGCGAAGGACCCGACGCGTGGTGGTGGCGTGTTGAATGTATAACTCTGGGTGTGTGGGTTTGCTGGGGGGCGGGGGGTGGCGGAGTGGGAGGAAATGGAATATATACGCGTACGTCAATACTTGTGTAGCAAGAGTACCTTGACGGAGCATTTGTCTTGTTTCTTTTTGTTTTGTTTTGTTTGTCTGTAAAAAAAAAAGGGGGGGAGAAAAAAGGAAAATGCATCACTGAGAATAAACGCTGAGTGGAGAGAGAGAGAGAGAGAGAGAGATGTTGAAAGTCTAATGAGGCGTGGGCCACCACCGCAGGTGCGCGTGGGGTACCTCACTTTAACGTTTATACATATATATATATATAT